TCCTTGGTGCCAGCTGATTTCAGGGGTATTTATGTGGGGCTAGGGTGCCGGGGGGCCTCCAGGCATCGTCCCATGCAGGTGTCCACTGCATGAAATGGCGCTCACCTCTTCGGTCCTGTCACTAATGGTCTTCCGGGGCTGGCAGCTCTCTCAGTATTTCCTCGTCTTACTTAGGGGCACAAAAATATCTCCCGTGCTTGTCATGCTCTCTCTCTAAGACCATCTGCAGTCCATCTGCCTATCTGTCCAGATGCGACAGGCCAACATCCCCTCTAGCATCATGCTCCCCAGCCAAGGCTCAGCCCAGGTGGCCGGCTCCAGGTGCCTCGCTCTGCACCCCTGTGCCTTACCCCCTCCACCACCTCTCTGCCAGCCCCCGTCCTAGTCAAGGGTGACATTTTCTCATCTGTGGGAAGCCAGATTTTCTTCTTCTGCTTTTCCCCAAATGTGGATCCATACCCAGATCTTCCCCCACCCTCCTAGGGTTTAGACTTCTGGAAACAAAACTGGGGAAGAAACTCAGCTTTAAGCCCCATCTGCTCTTCTCCTTGTCACAACCCTCCCTGTGGCAATGAGCCCAAGCCAGCTATGTGTCTACAGAGAGGGTAAAATCAAAAGAATAGAGGCTAAGTTCTCAAACATACTGTCCTGCCACTTAAGTATTAAATAAAATAGCACATGAAAGAACCTGCCATGTTTTAAGGGCCTCCTAGATAATGGCTATTATTTTTTCCCCTCCGATCTGTTGGACACCTCATCTGTAGCATTTGTTTGGAAATCAGTCATGCCCTGCCTTAGATCATCTATTGCACTGGCAATTTACTCTTACATTTTTATTTTCCCAGTGTCTATACTTTATTCTCCCAACTAAATATAAGTTCCTAGAGAGCATGGTCTATATCTTATAATTAGCTGAATCTAACAGAAGGCTAGGCTTTCAGCAAACACTTTAAAAATGTGTGCAGATCTAGTCTCAGGAACCCAAAATCACACTTGCAAACATGTAGAGAAAGTTCTTTGTGTAAGAAATCAGGTTATGTTTTTTTTCTTAAAATAATTCATGAGCATGTTTGTGTCTAAATGTTAACAGAGGAGCCATGTGGTTTATGAAGACACCCCAGATACTAAAAAGAAAGAGATTTTCAATGTATCTATTATTTTTTAAATCCTGCATCACAGCCATCCCTGAGTGCAAATATATTTCACATTTTATGCTGGCCTCCTATTGCAAAGTGCTAATTGAATCAATTTCCTGGAGCTGTATCACTAATGAATAGAGTACATCACAGATCTGGGATTCTTGAATCAAAAATACAGAACATGAATGTTTTGCTGAGAGAAAATGGTGTGTAGGAAAATGTCTTAGCATCCAAGAGAGTTGCGAAGTTTGGCCTTTAAGCATGGAGCTGCAGAGTGAGCCCTTGCGGGGGCTCTCTGTCAGCCTCACCCTGGCTGGGGCCGGCCAGTACTCCAGGAGGCCCCAGCTGGCCCCGTGCGTGGCTGAATGCACACATGCCCAAGGGGCCCACACTTCGCCACTTCCTACTCGCGTGGCCTTGAGCCGCTTACTTCTCTCTCAGTCTGGGTTTGCTCAACTCTAACTACAGAGTAAGTACCTCCCTCCCAAGAGTTTGGTGAAGGTTCAGTAAGATGATGTATGTGGAGGACTTGGCACTGTGTGGGAGACATAGTGCATACCCAGTAAATGATAGTTGCTGCGTCCGCTGCTCTGAGGGGACACAGGGTGGACAAAGCAGGGAAGAGGTGGCCATCTGGATGCCCTGGAGAGTGGCAGCTCCACCATGCGTACCCACATTCACACCCTTCTTTCTGCAGGTCAACAGAAGTGCCCCCTTTGCTGGGGCAGGAACATGCTAATGGCACTGAGGGGTACTTTACCTATGGGGGCTTTGAGGACCCAGAATAGAAGGCCCGAGCTGGGTTCCCCCTCACTCTCAAGTCATTGCCATGTCAGAGCATTCCTCAAAGGCAGATCTGTTTGGAGTTCCTTGTGGACTGAGACCTTCAACAGAATCTTCTCCTTTCGTTTCTAAAGTGAAGATGTTTTTGGTGGTAGGGAACAACAGTGTGAGTCAGAATGGCTTAAACCATAAAGGTGGATGATTGGCTTCCACGGTTGAGGATGTGCTGTGGTAGAGAATGAGGAGGGAGGTCCACCCGGGCCTCTGCTATGACTCTCCCGGGTCTGCCCTCCTTCATGCATCACCTTGGTCAGCTCTGGTCTGCCTACAAGATGGCTGCAGCCACTCTAAGCCTTCCTCCGTCACATAATCATCTCCAGGGAAGAGAGCAAGAGGAGGTTCCAGAAACTTTCTGGAGAAAAAATGGAGGCCCTTTTCCAAAGGCTGCCAGTTAATTTCTCCTCTCATCTCATTGGCCTGAATTTGGTCTCATGATCACTGCTGGGCCAACCTCTGTGGCTTAGTGGATACAGGTAATGATCGGCGTCATCTGAAGTCATCACCTGACTCAGTCACTGGAGTGAGGGGAACAGGAAAACCTGATTAGCTGTGACTAAATAGAATCCATCCCTGGAATTCAAGTCAACTCCCCCCAACCTCTGAGCTCCCGCTGCAAGAGGACAGAGGTAAGATGAGCGTTGGAGAGACTCCACAATGACCACTACTCTGCTGGCATTAATTCAACATCTCTTTCAGTTCCGGAAACAGTTATGAAAGGTCTGCTGTGTGCCAGGCAGGGTGCAGCATGCTGGGACCACACGGGGGCCCTGTGCTATTGAAAGGAATAAATGAGCCAACTTATGCAAAGTGCCCGGTGCAGCCCTCGGCCCTTATTAGTACCTGCTCCGTATCATCTTCATTAAAATGAAAAATGCATGAGTGCTCCCTGCTACCCAGGAGAGAGACTTAAACAAATACATTCTAGCAGCGTGGGAAGGGTAGCCAGAGTAAGCCTGCGGGTGGCATAAAGGAGAGAGATCACACAGGAGTGTGCAGAAGACCCAACCTCAGAAGCTTACAGCCAGTGATTCCTAACCTTGACTTCACATTTAATGCACCTGAGGAGCTTCTGAAACTCCCCACACCAATTAAGTCACAATCTCTCGGGGTGGGACCAAGCACCAGAATCAGTTTGACTTTTTAAAGATTCCCCAGGTGATTAAAATGTGCAGCCAAGGTTGAGAACCACAGTAACAGGCTATTGAGGACATAAAAGCCACACATGTAAACCGTTGGCAATGCTGGGTTCTGAGGGTACGTTCAAATGAAGTCAGTGCTCCAGGGCTCAGGGCAAGGAGAGGACGGTGGGCAGGGGGCTCCGGGCAGAGGAAGGGCATGGTACACAGGGTGGCTCCTGAAAGGTTTCTGTGTGCAAGCAGGGGACAGAGGGCTGAAGGGGCCTTGAAGGACCATGGGATTTGCCTAATCTAAGCCGTTTGGAGGTGGTATCTTAGTGTGAAGAGGAATAGTTGTGAGCAAAGGCATGCATGCTAACATAGTGTGTCGGTGTGGACTCAATCACGGGAGAAAAACCACACTGCGATTTCAACAGGTCAACGTAGAGAATTATTAACTACAATAGAGAATGGGAACAACAAAGGATTAGCTACTGAGAAGTAGAGAGCACTCTCAAGAATATAGGAATGCGGGTGTTAGCATCTACTACCCCCGGGCTGAGGTAGAGTGACCTGGGGACAGCCCTCCACCCCTCCAGCTGAGGTCCAGGCTCTGCTGGCACAGAGTGGCTTGTGGAAGGAAGAGAGAAGTCACTGTGGTGTCACTCTAGTAGAAAGAGTCAGGAATTTGCCCTCTGTGGTGGTGTCTCACTGGAACGCGCTTCGTTAGGGGTGCATTGCAGGAGCTAGGCCCGGGGGGTGCCACAGGAGCCCTCGGAGAGCGGACCGGGGAGCCAGGAGCCAAAACCCGGGACTGTCCCCCCACAAGCAAGCAGAGGCTCGGGGTTTACAAAACCTTCCCAGGGAATTAGCGAAGCTGGAGTTCGACCCACAGCCACCTTTCTCATATGTCCCGCTACCTCTCTGAAGAGACAGACGTGCAAGATCAAGGCTAGTCTGTCGGTGTAGGCTGCCCAGAGACGGAAGGGGCCTGTGCTCAGTGAAGGCTGTGGGGAAGGCCTCCTGGAAGAGGTGAGGACTCAGATGAACCTGAGGGGAGCTTTTACTTTAGAGACCTTGAGAAAAGCAGGGAGAAAGTGGAAGGAGGGACCTTGACATGAGCAGTGTTGAACGGTATCCTGTGCCACAGAGCAGACCTGAGCTCAGACAGGACTCGGCTCAGCCTGTAGAGAGAACAGTGGAAAACAAGAAGTAGGCAATGAGAACAAAGAGGTAGAACAGAATCAAGGAAGTCCTCATCTGCCAAAGAACTTGAGTTTAAGCGGGTACGAGATCGGTTCATTGCAAGAGAGCCAGAGCCCGTTAGCTCCAGGATTCCTCAACTGCCGGCCAAACTCCCTGTGGAATATAGGGCAGCAAACGCCAGCTTTGGGGTCAGACAGACCGGGAGTAGAGGGCCAGCTCCAGCGTTCAGCTGTGTGTCCTGGGGCAAGTCCCTCAACCTGTCTGAGCCTCAGGGTTCTTCGCGTGTGAGTGGGAAACAAGGGTACCTTCTTTGAAGGCTTGCTCAGATGAAGTCCCCAGCAGACAGCCCGCCACACAGCAGGCCTCCCGTCGGTGGCATCTTCCTTCTCCCGCCCAGTTTTACTCTTTGGGGGTTCCTTTCTGTCTTCTAACGCAGTGCACGCCTCTGAAGGCAGCTGTTTCCAATCCAGGAATTCCAGGATTTCTAAATCAGGTGCCGCTGGGGAGCGCCAAGGTCTTGACGGCAGGTAATATCCTTGTGTTTCGAGGCTGGCTGCTGAGCTTACCACTCTGCAGGAAAAGCTCAGGTTGAGGGGACACAGTCAGTGTCCTTGGTCCCCCGGCCAGATCGTGCCACGAAGTAGTGTTTCGGACCCAGTCTCCACAGGGCAAATGACCGTGCTGCTTTCACTTTCAGGAGGAGAAGTCACCAAACCACGGTTTGCTCAATTCTTCCATGGCAGCCTGGCCAGTCTCACTATCCGCCCTGGCAAAATGGAGAGTCAGAAGGTGATCTCCTGCCTGCAGGCCTGCAAGGAAGGACTGGATATTAATTCCCTGGAAAGCCTCGGCCAAGGAATAAAGGTAAGGACAGAGCTAGCCTCGCCGCCAACAAGACGTGGACTTAGGGGGTTAGAGGCTACCCAGCGCCTGCGTACTCAGGAAATGGAGTCCTCCCCTGTCGAGTTGCCCAGAGATGGTGTGGCGGCAAAGGTGCTGGCAACAGTGGGGAGGTTCGTGACGGTGACTTCCCTGGGGGACTTCTGCCGTGTCCTGAAATTCCTAGATGAAGCCCTTGTGTATCATCGGTTCACTACCCAAGAGCAGGCACGGGTCCGATATCTACCAGAAGGGAATGGTTCTATTTCAGCGGTTCCTGGATTGGTTGGTTGCTTTGTTGTCTGTTTGCCAAAGGAACAGAAGCAGCATGCAAGAATATATTTCGAAAATACTTGAAAGTAGAATGAAATGTTTGTCCTTGTTAAATATAAATTAGGAAGGAAGGTCAGCCTGGGTGGGCTGGAATGAGAGCAGGTAAGGAGGTCGCTGGGTCTCAGGTTGTGAAATTGAAGCACAGATTGGGCTTCGAGCAATCTCTGACAAAGGGAAGGTGAGCTGATTCATGCAAAATAAAAACATTCATGGGATCCAAAAGAACCAAAGCTGCGTTCTGAGAAAAGCACCTCCTGAGGGGCAGGACTCGCATAGCTAAATGTCTGCTGTGAGCGTCCTGCCCACCTCCCCCACCCATGGCCGGGATAGTTCCGGCCTCACCTGGACCTTAGGAGCTCCTGCCAGCAGGGAGCCTCTGGGAACCCGAGCAAAGAGCTGGGTAAACATCGTTGTAGCCCCTGCTCAATCCTAACGGACCCCAGTGAGAGTAGGCAGGCCACCCTCGGCCACCCTCTGCCTCCCGAAGCACAGGACAGCACCACGAGCCAACCCCCTCCCCCCAGCTCTGGGGGTTTCCTTTATAGGCCATTTCCCAAGGATGGTGTGACCAGAGCAGAGGTTGCCCCTACACCCCTGTCTTCTACCAGCCTACCCTGGGCCTGCCCACCTCCCCTGAACAGGGAGTCCCCTCGTCCCACAGACAGCACCTTTATTTTCGATGCCAGTGGGGCTGGTGAGGTTCTGACATGGGGAGTCATGGAGGGGCTGGTGACCTGAGCACGTCATGCTTTTCTTTAAGCTGTGGTCACTTCAAACATGCCATGGACATCCACGTATTGGTTCTGGGCTAGGTTGGGGGCACACAAAGCTGAACGTCCCCAGCCTCTTCAGGGAAGTCAGTGGCCCACGCTGACCCTTGTAATACCATGTGGTAAGGAGCAATGAGGATGAGCACCTCTCCCAAGTGCCGGACAGGGCTCTCAAGGCTTTGTGGGTGTTAACTCATTCAAGCCCAGAACAACCCTCTGACAAAGTTACCACGAATATTCCTATTTTGCACGTGAAGAATTGAGGACTTTAAGAGAAAAGAAACTTGTCTAAGATCCCAGAATTGGTAATGAGCGGAGCCAGAATTTGAACCCCAGGTGGTCCTGCTCCAGAGCTCCAGAACCTGAGGAGCAGCAGTGAGGGAAGGCTTCTTGGAGGAGGTGAGGTCTGGGCAGAATGTTTCAGGATGGGTAAGAATCAACCAGGAGGAAGGCAGGGGAGGGGAGCTGGGTAGTCACTCTGGGCAGATCTGAGAGCATGAGTGAGAGCAGAGGCCTGGGGAGCCCGCCATGTGCACTGGAACTCCAAGAAGGCTGATGTTACAGTGCCCAAATTGCAGGAGGAAAGGCAGAAAGTGTGGTCGGAGAGCGAGGCACAGGCTGAGTCATGGGGCCCTATAAACTACATTCAGGTGTTGACATGTTTTCTCCTGTCGGCAACAGGGAGCCACTGAAGGAGCATGATCTGGGCAGGAGCATGGTTTAGGATGCTCCCCTTGGAGACAGGGTCAGAGAGGGAAGGTGGGAGAGGTGCACAGACAGGGCAAGGCAAGAATGACTTTCCGGAACATTAAATATGCACAGGTGCACTCAATAGTTAATTCCCTGTCATTGAAGGAAAGCGGTCTACTTCATGGCACATTTCATATCGGCACCCTCACATGCAGAGCCTGGGGTTTGATCCTTGACCGGCTGTTTGAGTTGTTTCCTTAGCATTTTGTCAGCCCAGTGAGGCAGAAATCTGTCCTCCACCCCTCCCCTCTCTGTCTGATTCGGGGTTTGCTCCCTGCCCCTGAGTGGATCTGCTCTGCTCTGGAGCACCCCATCAGACCACAGTTTCAGGATTCAAGCACTACAGGACAAATAAAGCGAGGATACTGGACCGAAAAGCCACACATTCTTAGAATGATAAATTAAGAGGCATACCACCTCTACAGGGCAGTCAGAGCCTATGAAAAGAGGGGGTTGTGAACTCAGTGGCACACAGAGCCACAGGGGGTACCGAGGCTCTTCGACTTTTCCAGATGCCACCTGTTGATGACCAGTCACCGCAGAGGATCCTTTTCCATCCTTAGGGCCCAGCTGGCAAGAACTAGAGCACTGCAGGGGAAATTAATGATAAGACACACAATTCATGGTGTCCCCCCTGGGGGCTATTCTAAGTTCATTATCCCTACTCCTCACAACAGATTAAATGTTATGGCCCCACTTCAGAAATAAGGAGACTGGGACTTGCCCAAAATAAGCCTGTGCTCCTTCCTCCACACCAGCAACTCAGATTTGAAAGCATTCTTGAAAATGATTCAGACTTCCTTGCTTCTTGCCCTTCCTCCATTTATCTCTCATTTCATTTCTGAGTAATGACTATTTGTCTCTTTCCTGGTTTCTGGCCTCCTCCCTCCCTCCCTGGTTAGTCAAAGGAAGGGGAGGGCCTCCTGTGATTAACAAAACTTCCCGTCTGCTCACAGGGCCCAGCACAGGTTCCTCTTTTGACTTGTTTTCCTCTGGATCATGCCTAGTCCGGAATATGGCCCGCATGGCTGGGGTCAGTGAATGGTTGGGGCGGTTACTGTCTCGTACCCATACAAGACACTGACACTGTGGAGTAGCCACATCCCTGAAGACCCCCCTGTTCTGATTTTCGTAGCATCATGCCTGCCAATTTGTCACACCCACAGTGTGGAGGACTGGGAAAGAGCAAACACCTTTGGGGCAAGGCACCCCTCGGTTCAAACCATAATACAAATACTTGCTGGGTGACCTTGGGCAAAGTAATTTAATCCTTTAAGCCCCAATTCCCTCATGCATTAAAGTATATTTTGTTGTGATGTGGGAATTGGATTTTTTTTTTAAGATTTTTATTTATTAGAGAGAGAGAATGAGACATAGAGAGCATGAGAGGGAAGAGGGTCAGAGGGAGAAGCAGACTCCCTGCTGAGCAGGGAGCCCGATGCGGGACTCGATCCCGGGACTCCAGTATCATGACCTGAGCCGAAGGCAGTCGCCCAACCAACTGAGCTACCCAGGCACCCTGGGAATTGGATTTTATGTATACGTTATATATAAGCTATATAGAGATATAGAAAAGATATGTATATATATACAGATGAGCTGACGGATACAGATAGACATACATAGAGATCTCCCTTGTAAACCTAATAAGTAGGTTCTCAGCAAATCACAGTTCCCTTCTCCAGCTGGGCTGGCCTTGCCCATGGTGTTGCCACTGTGCCAGCTTCTTTTGAAAGCTAAGCCTGGGTGACAGTTACGGCAGAGGGGCCTCGAGTGTGGCAGGTCTTCATCTGGCCCAACCCAGAGGGGCTGGCAGGTGGCCCAGTGAACGGCAAGGTGCCTGGAGTGCCATGGCCAGCTTCCCCTTGAGGAATAGGCCTGGGCTTTGGACAAGGATCTCACTGATGTCCCAGCCTGCTAGGTGCCTGGTGACACCGGCTGACCCTCTGGGAGAACTTACTGCTCCCAAAGGCCATCTGTCTAGCAGCTTCTTGGCTCCAAGAAAGGAATCCCCATGGCCACAGCACAGCTTTCCAAAAGAGAATGAGTGCGACACCCTTTGTTGGGCCCCCAGGAAGCCACCTCCTGTCCCTGTGATAATGCTAATGCCATTCTGAACACTGCAATTTAAAAAAAAAAAAAAAAAAACTTTGGTGGAAGGTCTTACTGATCCTACAAGGACTATATGAATGGCTCGGCCAGTACCCACCTTCATGGCCTGTGGCAGTCCTCAGGGTGCTCAGGCTGCCAGACCAGGGTTATTAACTGGAGAGCCAACACCTAGCCCATCCATCCTCTTGTCTGGTGGCTGCGGTGGGGACATGCCCTCTGCTGATGGCCACGGGATGCTGCTCATTCAACCTTCTGGAAGAACTGTTTGGATTTTTTTTTAAGTTTAAGTAATCTCTACACCCGGGGTGCCTGGGTGGCTCTGTCGTTAAGCGGCTGCCTTTGGCTCAGGTCATGGTCCCAGGGTCCTGGGATCGAGCCCCGCATCAGGCTCCCTGCTCGGCGGGAAGCCTGCTTCTCCCTCTGCCTGCCACTCCGCCTCATGCTTGCTCTGTCAAATAAATAAATAAATCTTTAAAAAAAAAAGTAATCTCTATACCCAACATGGGACTCAAACTCACAACCCCCAGATCAAGAGTCACATGCTTTTCCTACTGAGCCAGCCAGGCGCCCCACGATTCTCCTGTTCAGCCCTTATGTGAAGTTTGGATCAGCCTCCACCACAGGGCTTGCCATTTTGTCTCCTGTTTCTCATGTGCTAGATCCTGTGGGGACCCTGAGGAAAAGTCAGTAGACCCTGACCTCAAGGTGCTCACAGTTGCCTGGGGGAGGCAGGCAGACAGACAGCAACAGCACCATGACTCTGCTATAGCAGGGATGCTGCAGGGTGGGGTTGGGGGGAGGTAGGGAGGCAGAAGAACATGTGGGAACGTAAGTGGTATTTTAGAAGAATGAACTTGAATCTGCTCAAATCTAAAACGGATGATTTGTACAACACTCAACACAGGGCAGCTCTAAGGCTGAGCACACTCCGGTAGTGAGTCCTCCACAGCAAGGGAGAAGCCAACTCAGAGGATGACTGTGGCATCACCTGCACATGTAACCGGAGACTCCCAAACCCAC